GTCATAGCAATGGTATGACGTCATGTCATCAATGTCATAGCAATGGTATGACGTCATGTCATCAATGCATTTACGTCAACAGTAGCAGACCATGGACGATAAGTCTGGATTTGTTGAAAAAACATGCAGCGCATACAGTTCATGCAATCACGCCTTTGTCAGCGGATTTGTGAATAAAACAGGATGGGAGAATAACAATAATTCCCTACATTGAGGAAAGCCTCGTGTAAGATAATCAAGACATCATCCCTCGGACTGTAGATTTCTCCGTCACAGCCTCAGTGTAAGGGAAGATTATATTAGTCAGTGCAGGGATAGTTCTTTATCATCCATTAGGGCATGATATATAGAATGCAGAAATAAGCAATACAATGACGTCAGAACAACAATTTTGACGTAACAATCAGCTTTCGACGTGAAAATACTATTGCAAATTTGACATGCCAGACTACTGTCCAAGGGTCTGTGACTAAAATAATACATGAATGATGGGAAAAGGGATCTTCTCCAACCCTTCACAGGTGAGAAAAATAATCATCCCCTATATATATTGATGGTATAACAGAGAAATCTCCAACCCTCGGGGTGATATTTTTTGGTTGCCTAACCCTCGACAGAGCCTCGAGTTAGACAACCAAAAAACATCACCCCTCGGGTTGGAAATTTCTCTGTCACACCCTCAAGCTAGGGGAAGATTCTATTAATCTTCTTCTTTAAGGGCGTAACAGATAAATGTCCAACCCTCGGGGATTATTTGGTGGTCTAACTCTCGACAGAACTTTGCGTTAGAAAAAATAAATCGGGTTGGAGATTTGTCTGTCACAAAGAAGAGGAAGATTGTATTACTAATGATGTAAGGTAACAGGACCGATAAAGAGGGCGCTGTCAGTGGAGGAACACACCAGCGTCATCACGTGTTTGACTGTTAACATAATATAGTAGACATATATAGCTGTCAGTAGAGGAACACGCTAGCGTCATCACGTGACTTACTGCTAACAGATATAGAGTTAATATATTTGTTTGACAATTACATATACATTAGTTAATTATCCATAAAGTCGCGAACGAAAATAAATTATGGAGTGTTAAAGAAAATATCTATTAAACTTTCCTCTTATATATCAATACAATGTTAAATACCACACTGACTTAATACTACCTGCATGTTAAAAACAATTCATTAGACCAACTACAATCCTTTGCAGCGGTTTTCAGAATTAAACAAGTTGAAATAAAAAATCAATCAATTTAACGAAAAAGAGTTTAAATAAACACAGATAATTGTAATATCAAATGCCACAATAACTTATGAACAATTACAGGAGAAATCGATTTTCCACATGGCTCTGGTAATAGCTGGGTCGATTTTTCTCTGCCACTAGATCCGATCTATGATTAGATAACGCTGTCCATTTCATCAGTGACGTAACCAACTAAACACCATTCATTTTGAACGGCCTGAATACTGCCGACATGGCTTTAATTTGGCAATTTATGAACGTAAAATAGAGTCGAATTATCCCCATTCGCTCTCTCCTTAAGATGTCAAATAGGGTTAGACCCGTTTGTCAGGTAATCGTGCCGAACAGCCGACATGATTGCGAGGCGGCTAATTTAGCCCTATCTAGTGTATTTATCTGAAATTACCGCTATTGAACAATAAAAAAGTCGGATGAAAAATTGTCATTTTCACCGTCAATAATATTCTTAAATGTAGCCGTTATTTTAGGCATTTACCTCTACCAAGAACACGAAGTTAAAGACCCAAAATTGCTTTCATCCGCCGAGAAATAAATAGCCGGCACATTGGCTTTCACTTTTACTGCTGTGGTGGGCAGTGAGAGGGGATTTCCTAGAGATTTGTCGCTGTCCTTGTAGAAATGACCGGTAACACACGACTGGATTTAAAAGTTAAGCGCATTTGTAATTCGTATCTGGATGGAGTGAGAATAAGTGCCCCACCCTATAGTTCCCCCTACCCCGGGAACATCACGGATAGGAGTTTCAGTAACAGGTAGGTTATACTTTCAGTACCAGTATTAAGTAACATTAATATCGTTATCAAAAATATTTGTGTTTTGTGCATATTTGTTTTTAAATTGTGATCTGAATACACACTTTTAATATGACAGATATGTGGATTCGTGATAACTATATTACGTCCACAAAAAGTTGCATCGACAATTTTTTCTGTGAATCTGAATATGTTTGACTCAAAGATATTGCCCGTTGCTCTTATTATGGGGTCGCGAGTTCCTTGACCACGCTGTTTCAGCGTTATCAGCTGTTCCGTTTGCCTGGTATAAAACACACGTTCATGATGTCCGACAATTTCAACGTGTTAATATATTTGTCAAACAGAACACGTGGTTAATGAATGGGTGAGTACCCAATGAACGCTAACCGACTTCTATAAATAACTTCACTTTTATACAAACCGAATGTATTGCAATTACATGTTAATCAAACGAACTACTCTAAGACATTGTCCAGAATTTCTTTTTGCTGTTTAAAAATTAGCAACATATTCTGTTCTTGTTTCGACAAAAACGACGTGTTAACATCAATTTTATTTATGAAAAGAAATACAATGGCAGAAAAAAATAAAACAGAAATGAAATCTGTTCGTGCCATGAACTAAATAATCAGCTAATAGCGACTAACCCGCTTTATGTTAACTAGAAAAGACCGAAGATAAAAGTTGATGACTAAATGTTTACGATATCATCTTTAGAAGGTATGACCTTATTTAACAAGGAACAAGTTCATCGAAAGAGTAGTAGCTAAACAGGCTACTTAACTCTACAGGAGTGTTAATACTCTATAGAGTACACTAAAACCTGAATTTTCACTTTCATGAATGACAACCACTCCTAATTGAGGAGACAGACTGCTTCAGAAATGAAATATATTCATGTTTTGTATAAACATTGTTAATCATTCTAAATAGGTCATCCCATTGATGATACAACATATTATAGAAAATTGGGCAATCTTACCTATACATACACCAAAATAACACCTACACACGAGCGAAATGTACCGACAATCATTATGAGGTAACACTCATATATAGCACATTCTCACCAAAACACACAGAAAGTTAGGCAATAAAACTAACAGAAATCGACATTTTCACACGAGGTACATAGTGAGGTAGGAGACTATTCGACAAAAGCTCCCGCGGTTTGTGTGTAACAGGTGAAGTGAAGAACAGTGGATCGTCACAGACATGGAGCCATGCCCCACAACTCCATAGACCCAGACAACAAACTGTCAAAACAGCACAATACCCGGAACAACCTCGCCTCCGATACAACAATACCCGGAGCAACCTCGTTCCCTACATAACAATACCCTACATAACCTCGCTTCCTTGATCCCACCGACCGTTCACGCGCCGCTCTGGCGGCAGTGGTGGTGTTTCATGCTGTTTCCGGCACAGCGTATACCATTGGACACTTTTGTTTTTTGTAAAGGCAAGGTTACGCGAAAAATGGCGGTTTTGCGCCGAGTATGGACCTCCGGGTATGTCGTACTGTTGAAGAGCAACGACTGGGGCGGGTCGCTTGCAGAAAATCTGCATGTTACTCCCTCACGACAAAACGGCAGTAAAATGTCCCCGTCACAGAGGCGTGATGATTACTGTGGGATATCTTCACTCACAAGTTTTGGCAATAGGGACATTCTTCAGGTTATTTTTTTTACTAGTTCTGTTTAAAATAAACCCGTTAATTCCTCCGTCAAGTTATCAGAAGCTAAACAAAGAATCGTATTATTGAAGATTGAGATGTGCTCTAGTTGTCCTTGACGGACGATCTCAGAATGCTGCTATTAGAAACAGGGGACAGGTATTATTGACAAAGGATGTACTTTACTACAATTCTAAAAGATGTACACGAATAATCTTCACAGATATTTGTCGATAAAGATCCGACAACAATATTTAGATTGAAAAAAACGATTTTTACTTTTGATGTAAATGAAAGAAAAAAAACCTTTTGAGTATATGAAATAGTTAAATAGCAGGCTTTTATAAGATAACATAATTTGTCAATCTTGCTCACGAGACTAATACCACACACACGGCCTTTTAAGGAATATTGAGGAACAATAAGTCAGCTTCGTGAAAACGTCAAACATGTCATTTCAAAACCAGGGCGATGTACTCTTACACCGAATGTCAATCGGTCTCTGCTTGTGAATTCTTAGGTTTCATCATATTTACTTGTTTTATACGATGTGTCAATTCTGACACATGTTTACCTGTTGAATATGGATTTGTCAGCTCGGATTAATGTTTAACTGTTTAAAACGGACGTGTCCGGTCGGTCACATGTTTACCTGTTTAATACAAACGTGTTAGGTCGGACACATGTTTACCCGTTTAATACGGACATGTCAGGTCGGACAAATGTTTATACATGTTAAATACGGACATGTCGGGTCGGTCACATGTTTACCTGTTTAATACGGACATGTCAGGTCGGTCACATGTTTACCTGTTTAATACGGACATGTCAGGTAGGACACATGTTTATATGTTAATACGGACATGTCAGGTCGGACACATGTTAATATATTATTACGGACATGTCAGGTCGGACACATGTTTATATGTTAATACGGACATGTCAGGGCGGACACATGTTAATATATTATTACGGACATGTCAGGTCGGACACATGTTTATATGTTAATACGGACATGTCATGTCGGACACATGTTAATATATTATTACGGACATGTCAGGTCGGACCGATGTTTATATGTTAATACGGACATGTCAGGTCGGTCACATGTTTATATGTTAATACGGACATGTCAGGTCGGACACATGTTAATATATTATTACGGACATGTCAGGTCGGACACATGTTTATATGTTAATACTGACATGTCAGGTCGGACACATGTTTATATGTTAATACGGTCATGTCAGGTCGGACACATGTTTATATGTTAATACGGACATGTCATGTCGGACACATGTTAATATATTATTACGGACATGTCAGGTCGGACACATGTTTATATGTTAATACGGACATGTCAGGTCGGACACATGTTAATATGTTAATACGGACATGTCAGGTCGGACACATGTTAATATGTTATTACAGACATATCAGGTAGGACACATGTTTACCTGTTTGATACGGACATGTCACAGGTAGGACACATGATTATATGTTAAATACAGACGTGTTAGGTAGGACACATATCTACCTGTTAAATACGGACATGTCAGGTCGGCCACATGTTTACCTGTTTAATACAGACGTGTTAGGTAGGACACATGTTTACCTGTTTAATACGGACATGTCAGGTCGGTCACATGTTTACCTGTTTAATACGGACATGTCAGGTCGGACACATGTTAATATGTTAATACGGATGTGTCAGGTCGGACACATGTTAATATGTTATTACGGACATATCAGGTAGGACACATGTTTACCTGTTTGATACGGACATGTCACAGGTAGGACACATGATTATATGTTAAATACAGACGTGTTAGGTAGGACACATATCTACCTGTTAAATACGGACATGTCAGGTCGGCCACATGTTTACCTGTTTAATACAGACGTGTTAGGTAGGACACATGTTTACCTGTTTAATACGGACATGTCAGGTCGGCCACATGTTTACCTGTTTAATAAGGACATGTCAGGTAGGACACATGTTTATATGTTAAATACAGACGTGTAAGGTAGTACACCTGTTTACCTGTTTAATACGGACGTGTCGTGTCGGTCACATGTATACCTGTTTGATACGGACATGTCAAGACGGTCACATGTTTATATGTTAAATACAGACGTGTAAGGTAGGACACATGTTTACCTGTTTAATACGGACATGTCAGGTCGGTCACATGTTTACCTGTTTAATACGGACATGTCAGGTCGGACACATGTTAATATGTTAATACGGATGTGTCAGGTCGGACACATGTTAATATGTTATTACGGACATATCAGGTAGGACACATGTTTACCTGTTTGATACGGACATGTCACAGGTAGGACACATGATTATATGTTAAATACAGACGTGTTAGGTAGGACACATATCTACCTGTTAAATACGGACATGTCAGGTCGGCCACATGTTTACCTGTTTAATACAGACGTGTTAGGTAGGACACATGTTTACCTGTTTAATACGAACATGTCGTGTCGGTCACCTGTTTACCTGTTTAATACGGACGTGTCGTGTCGGTCACATGTTTACCTGTTTAATACGGACGTGTCAGGTCGGACACATGTTTACCTGTTAAATACGGACATGTGAAGTCGGACAAATGTTTATATGTTAAATACAGACGTGTTAGGTAGGACACATATCTACCTGTTAAATACGGACATGTCAGGTCGGCCACATGTTTACCTGTATAATACAGACGTGTTAGGTAGGACACATGTTTACCTGTTTAATACGGACATGTCAGGTCGGCCACATGTTTATATGTTAAATACAGACGTGTAAGGTAGGACACATGTTTACCTGTTTAATACGGACGTGTCAGGTCGGACACATGTTTACCTGTTAAATACGGACATGTCAGGTCGGACAAATGTTTATATGTTAAATACAGACGTGTAAGGTAGGACACATGTTTACCTGTTTAATACGGACGTGTCAGGTCGGACACATGTTTACCTGTTAAATACGGACATGTCAGGTCGGACAAATGTTTATATGTTAAATACAGACGTGTTAGGTAGGACATATGTTTACCTGTTTAATACGGACGTGTCAGGTCGGACACATGTTTACCTGTTAAATACGGACATGTCAGGTCGGACACATGTTTATATGTTCAATACAGATGTGTTAGGTAGGACACATGTTAACCTGTTTAATACGGACGTGTCAGGTTTGACACATGTTGACCTGTTAAATACGGACGTGTTAGGTAGGACACATGTTTATGTGTTAAATACAGACATGCTAAGTCGGACACATGTTTACCTGTTAAATACGGACGTGTTAGGTAGGACA